ATATAGAATAAACTTGCTTAATTAGACCTGCTTTCTGATTTAGCTAAACTTTTTCCAGCCCAGTGAAGCACCCCAACTTCTCTTTCAGGTAATTGTCAGCAACACAGCAGTAAATATCAACCCGAAGCAGATTATTGTAGATCACACAGGGAGAACAAAGGGTAAAATATTTAACAGCAGCAGTGTTTGACTTGAGAAAACCTGAAGTCATTTTTAAGGTCCACCATTTCTTACTTCTTTTCAGTAGGGTCAAGTTTCTAAGCTTTCTAAATTTCCATTTTCCAGCTAATGAAAAGAAAATAGGATTCCACCAAGTCTCCTATCTACCTACTCCAGGACTTCTGTGAGAATGAAATGAGATGAGGCACGTGAAAATGCTTCACAAACATTTGGTTAAAGTGTGAAATATTTGCACCTGGTTATAAAGCACGTTGTGTTCCTGAGCCAAAGGAACTGTAAGGAGGCTAGTCACTAGGGAGAGGAAGCCGGGAGTTGCTATATGATGTCATTACCTGGACGGTCAGACACTTAGCATATCTGCCTTTTATGTATATAGATAATGAACTCTCATAAAGAGAAACCAAAAAAATCCCATTTACCATTGCAACAACAGCAACAACAAAAAGATACCTAAGAATAAACTTAACCAAGGAGGAAAAAAAAGACATGTACTTGGGAAACTATAGGGTGTTGAAAAAAGAAGTAGAGGACAATACAAACAAATTTAAATGTATACGGTGTTCATCCATTGGTAGAATTAACATCATTAAAATGTCCTTACTACCTAAAGAAATATTTAGATTCATCACAGCCCCTATTAAAATACCAATGACATATTTCACACAACTAGAACAAAATACACCAAAAATGTATATGAAACTATGAAAGATCCCAAATAGCTGCAGCAATCTTGAAAAAGAAGAATAAAGTTGGAGGGGTCACAATACCAGATATTAAACTATACTACAAAGTCATTATACTCAAAATATTTTGGTACTGGCACAAGAATAGGCACATAGGACATTGGAACAGAACAGAGCCCCCAAAAGTTTACCCACACCATACAATGGAGTAAAGACAGTCTCTTCAACAAATGATGCTGGGTAAACTGGATAGACACATGCAAAGAGATTAATCCAGACCACCAACTTACACCATTCACAAGAATAAATCCAAAATGGATAAAAGACTTAAATGTAAACCATGAAACCATAAAAATCTTAGAAGAAAACATAGGCAGTAAAGTCTCAGGCATCTCACATAGCAGAATATTTGCCGATACATCTCCTAGGGCAAGAAAAACAAAGGAAAAAATAAACAAATGGGACTACATCAAAATAAAAAGCTTCTGTACACTAAAAGAAACCACCATCAAAATGAAAAGGGAACCCACTGTATGGGAGAACATATTCGTCAATGATACACCTGATAAGGGGTTAATATTCAAAATATATAAAGTATTTATACAACTCAACAAAAGGAAGACAACCCAATGGAAAAAAAAATGGGCAGAAGATCTGAATCTATATTTCTCCAATGAGGACATACAAATTCCAAGAGACATATGAAAAAATTCTCAAAGTCACTGATCATCTGAGAAATGCAAATTAGAACCACAATGTGCTATTACCTCACACCTGTCAGAATGACTATCATCAACAAATCAACAAACTGTCAAGTGCTGGCAAGGATGCGCAGAAAAAGGAACCCTTGTGCACTGCTTGTGGGAATGCAGATTGGTGCAGCCAGTATGGAAAAAAGTTTCCTCAAAAAATTTAAAATGGAACTTCTGTTTGACCCAGTGATCACACTTCTAGGAATATATCCTAAAAACCCCAAAATGCCTATCAGAAATAATATATGCACCCCTATGTTCATAGTAGCATTATTTACAATAACTAAGATTTGGAAACAGCTCAAGTGCCCATCAGTAGATGAGTGAATAAAAAACTGTGGGACATTTACACAGTCAGATACTTAGTACCTGTGAAAAAGAGGGATCTCTTACCTTTTGGGACATGGATGGACTTGGAGCCTATTATGCTAAGTGAAATAAGCCAATCTGAGAAAGACAAATATCACATGATCTCACATATTCATGGAATCTAATGAACAAAATGAATTGACCAACAAAATAAGACCTTAATCATGGATGCATGGAACAGACTGGCATACCTTGATGTACATGTGGGGTGGATAAGAAGAGATAAACCTAAGAACTTATATACTTAGAGGCCTGCTGGTGCATGACATTCATGCACTGGGGGGGGGGGGGACG